TGTGTGTATGTGTGTGTGTGTGTCTGTGTGTGTGTGTATGTGTGTGTATATGTGTGTGTGTCTCTGTGTGTGTGTGTGTGTGTGTGTGTGTGTCTCTGTGTGTGTGTGTGTGTGTGTGTGTGTGTGTTGGGGGGAAGGCAGCTTGATGAAAAGTGATGACCCTAGAATAGGTAGAACAGGTCAAGCTTGGGTTCAAGTCCCAGCTCTGCCACTTCCTAGTTGGCTCATCTTAGCTTGTCATCCTTCCTCTCTGAGTCTACGTCCTCATTTCTAAAATGAGGATAAGCATGCTTCCCCCATGAGATTATTGAGAGAATTAGGCAACATCCCGTACACAAAGTTCTCCAAGCTGAACAGCCCTGAGGCAGAGGAGGTAAGTGCTTAGGGGCCCTCCAAATAAATAAGACCCCCAAGTAAATAAATAAATAAATATATAGCCTTGCAAAAGTTTGGTATTTCTTATTTCAGAGAAAACTGTATTGAATAGTCATCATGGGGAACTTCAGAACTTTGCTGGGCTTCCTGACATTTACTTTCAGGTCTAGTGTTATCTGTATGTTGGCTTACAAATGAGCGTGGTGATGAGAATGCTTTTCAATTGGTTTTCAGCATTTAGGGTCTCAGCATAATACCTTGTTTGGACTTGAAAGAGTTCAGTCTACAGCCTGGCCATTATAGGTGTCCGTGATGATGCAATCAACAATGGCCCTCGGAGAGGCGCCCACTACAAGCCCAATGCCTTCTCTGGTGGAAGTGGCAACCCCGGAGTCGGGGGGGGAGGAGAGACAGGCAGGAGGCAGGCAGAGGATGGCCTGGGAGAAAACGGTGCCATGCAGGGTCACGCTGGGAGCCCCTGTCCCCAGCTTCTGGGGAGGGGTTGGAGGTGGGATGGGTGGGGAGAGGCCCTCTTTCCTCAGACATGCCCTTCCTTCCAAGCCTCCAGCAGGCAGACCCCCAGCCATGCACCCCCAGACACCACCCTGAGAAGTCAGATTGCCCGGGAACCAGGGGCATGCTGGCAGCAGAGGGTTACCAAGCAGGACTTACCAGGGAACTGGTAGGTGTAGCCAGGGGCGAGACCTGTATAACTCCGGCTGGCGTAGGTTGTGGCTTGGAAACCTGGGTAACCTGATGGGGTAAGGGGGCAGTGTCAGATGTCTCATCCACAGGGCAGATCCTGCTCAAGGAGAAGGACCTGAGCCACTCATGTCCCCTCACCTTCCTGTATCATGAATAAGAGCTGTACCCTCCAAATACCTTCTTCATGCCAAGCCCTGTGCTGAGCACACTGCACACTATTATCCCGTTAAACTCGCCTTAGAGGTAGGTACTGTTAGGCACCCCATTTTACAGACAGGAAACCGAGGCTCTGAAAGGTAACACTTTTTGGCTGAGAATAATCCAATGCTCTTCGAGCTCTGGCTCCTGCTTCCCTCCTGTCCTCGTCTCCTGCACGCTGCCCCTCCCTCCCTCTGCTCCAGCCACACTGGCTTCCTTGCTGTTTTTCAGCTTTGCCAAGCTCATTCCCACCTCAGGGCCTTTGCACATGCCAGTGCCTTTGCCTGGAGCTCTCTTTCCAGATGACTGCATGCCTGAGTCCCTTTCATTGTACAAGACTCTGAAACATCTTCCCACAGGCGTCCTCCTTCCCATCAGCTACAATCTCTATCATGTTACCTTGGTTTTTCTTAGTACTGATGATCATTATCTGAACTTATATCATGATTTTTTTTTTTCTTTTTTAGAGACAGGATCTTGCACTTTTGCCCAGGCTGGAGTGCAGAGTGGTGCAATCATAGGTCACTGCAGCCTCAAACTTCTGAGCTCAAGTGATTCTCCTATCTCAGCCTCCCCAGTAGCTGCGACTACAAGGCGTGTGCTACTATGCCTGGCTAATTTTTCAATTTTTTTGTAGACATGGGGTCTTGCTATGTTGCCCAGGCTGGTCTCGAGTTCCTAGCCTCAAGTGATCCTCCTGCCTTGGTCTGGAATTACAAGCATGAGCCACCACATCTGGCCAGAAACGACCCATAATTTCTTTAAGAGCTGATTTTCTGTCTTCTCAAAGAAAAATCAAATAGTTAGCAATAATGGTGCAATTAAGATTCAAATTCAGATCTGACTGGCTCCAAGCCTCTTAACCACCAATTTCACTATTTGTTAGATAATTTCTTTCTTTCTTTTTCCACTTTTTTTTTTTTTTTTGAGATGGAGTTTCGCTCTTGTTCCCCAGGCTGGAGCGCAATGGAGCGATCTCGGCTCACAGCAACCTCCGCCAACCGGGTTCAAGCGATTCTCTCGCCTCAGCCTCCCGAGCAGCTGGGATTACAGGCATGCGCCACCACCCCCAGCTAATTTTGTATTTTTAGTAGATACGGGGTTTCTCCATGTTGGTCAGGCTGGTATTGAACTCCCGACCTCAGGTGATCCGCCTACCTCAGCCTCCCAAAGTACTGGGATTACAGGCATGAGCCACGGTGCCCGACTTTTTTTTCACTTTTTAAATGAAGGGTGAAAACAGCTCATGAATCGCCTTAGAAGAAAACTTTCTCAATGTTCTAAATAAAACAAAGTGAAAGAGACAGGACAACTAACTACAATACCTGACTGTAGCCTGGATCTTGTTCTAAAGGACAAAAATATTCTATAAAGAGTATTACTGGGTCTGGCTGGGCATAGTGGCTCATGCCTACCACCACAACACTTTGGGAGCCTGAGGCGAGAGGATTGCTTGAGGCCAGGAGTTCGACACCAGCCTGGGCAACATAGTGAGATTCCGTCTCTACCAAAAACAAACAAACAAAAAAAGAGCATTATTGGGTCAATTGATAAAACTGGAAAATAGAAAGTAGATTAGACAAAAATATTGTATCAATTATAAACTTAGGAAGTTGATAACTACACTGTGGTTACGTGAAAGAATATCCCTAATCTTAGGAAGCATCAAAGGGTAAAGGGCCACGATGCATGTAACTAACCCTCAAATGATTCAGTGAAAAATTACAAGTGTGTGTGTGTATATATGTATACATCCATATTTGCAAACACACATACACACACATGTCTACACATAGAGTAAAACCGATCAAGCAAAATGGGGGCAAAATGTTAAGAACAGGTAAATCTGATAACGGCATACGGATGTTCTTTGCACTGTTTTATTTTTGCAGCTCCTCTGAGTTTGGGATTACTTCCAAATAACATGTTAAAGAAAAAAGGAAAACTTCAAGGAAGACTGTGCCCTGTTTGGAGGCTGCTCACCTCCTCCACTTCTGACCCGTTAGCCCATGCTGTGCCCCCTCCTCTGAATTCCCAGAGCACCTCTCTGTGCGTCCCTCCCCCAGGCCTGGCATAAAGACTCCCTTGTACTGTTGTCTTTCTGTGTGTACACATCTCATCTCTCCAGGGAGCCTCTGAGCTTCCTGGGGGCCGAACTCAGATTTACCATCCTCAGTCTTGGACCCAAAGCACAGCTGACTCCTGCTCAGCTTTCAAGGCTCATGGCAGCCTTCACCTCCTCCAGGAAGTCTCCCCAGCCTCCAGGTGGGTTTAGGTGCCTCCTTGGGCCTCCCACAGCCTCCAGTCACTTTGTAGAGGCAGTGCCCATTTACTCCTGTCTCCCACTTGAAGGGAAGCCCCATGAGAGCAGGCTCCACTTCTCAGAAGTTGCTCAATAAATATTACTTGAATGAATAAGACCAGGCAGCCTTCCTTTTGCCCCTCCAAAGGCCTGGAACACTTTTCCCCTTCCCGTCTCTCCAGCCTCCCCATCACTGGCTCCTACTCCACCTGCAGACTCAACTTAAATGTAATTTCTTTTCCCACTTCTCCAAGTCGTGGTCAAGTTCCCTGTGACCACACTCTCCGCACCCTACACTTCTGCATCTGAAATCTATGTATCTTCTTCTTCTTTTCCCTGCCAGATTGTAAAGCTCCAAGGAAAGTCATTGTTGCCATTCCTGGCATGATGTCTGGCATATAGAGTTGCTCAATAACTGGGTACTGGATGGATGAATGGATGGAGGAATGGACAGATGGAGGGATGGATAGACGAGAGAACGGACAGATTGACAGGACCAATTAATATGGTTGGACCTTTCTGCTGGCTACCACCAGAGGGCAGCACCCCCCAACCAAACCACCCCACCTTGGGTAGGACTGCCAGACGGGACGGATCCCTAGTCCCTACTCCTGCCCAATGACTCAGACAGGCGGAGGGCAGACCACAGAGGAGGTACAACACCCACACAGCCCCTGCTAGCCCTGGGAGCAGTTCCGACAGAAAGAAGCCGCAGGCGCAGGCTCGCGCATACCCAGCATGCCGATGCCCAGCATGAAGGCGTCCATTCCGTAGGGCATGACTCGAGACCTCCCCCGGGCTGAGCCCGTCGGCGACATCACCTCCTTTGGCTGAGCTTTCTTACATTCCACCTGCAATGAGACCTAGCAGTTAGTCTTTCCCATAGAGCTAGGGTCGTTAGCCCTCTTGTTCCCTGGAAAGACTCTATTAATTTTATTAATTTCACTGTCCACCTGAAAACAATTTCATGGTTACCACTGATGGAGCACTCACTATATGCTAGGGAGTGTGTAAACAGCTTTGCATGCAATCGTTCAATGAATGCTTACACTAATACTACGATGGAGGAGCTTTTCCACTCCCATTTGACAGATGTGGAAACTGAGGCTCAGAGAAGGGAAGTCATCTGCCCAAGTAACTACCGTGTAACACTGCCTTCCTGTCTAGGTTTTCAGGGGGTGGGAGAACTGGCTCTGCCTCCTCTCACTCTGAGCCCCTCTGCCTCCCTTTAGAACTTCAAAGCTTCCCTGGCAGGCCCTCCAAGGAGCCCCAGTCTTCTCTGTACCTGTGCTCCATCCAATCCCAACTCACCATGTTTTTGTTTTTGTTTGTTTGTTTTGTTTGAGGCAGAGTCTCACTCACTCTGTTGCCCAAGCTGGAGTGCAATGGCACAATCTCAGCTCACTGCAACCTCCACCTCCTGGGTTCAAGCGATTCTCCTGCCTCAGCCTCCCGAGTAGCTGGGATTACAGGTGTGCACAATCACGCCTGGCTAATTTTTGTATTTTTAGTAGAGACAGGGTTTCACTGTGTTGGCCAGTCTGGTCTCGAACCCCTGACCTCAAGTAATCTGCCCACTTCAGCCTCCCCAAAGTGCTGGGCTTACGGGCGTGAGCCACTGCACCCGGTCCCAACTCACCATTTTGTTGTTGATTTCATGAAAATGAATTTCACACACTTTCTCCACAATGTCCTCACTCTCAAACGTGACAAACCCGAACCCTAGAGGTTGGACAAAGCATAAAGGCAAGGTCAGAACCAGAGCGCAGGGTCAAAACCCAACCCCAGGTCATACCAATATCCCTGCTCCTCTCTCTCTGGCAAGTGAGAGTTAATGAAAGGCTCTGCTCACAGCCTGGAATCCTCTCAACCACCCACTGAGACAGGGTTTCAAGTCCCAGATTACAGATGAGGAAAATAAGGCTCAGATAAGTGAAGTAACTTGCCCAAGGTGACACAGCAAGTTAGAAAGTGGTAGAGCTGTGATGAGAATACACTCAACATGCTTTTTCTTGTCCTTAGGTGTTTCCAAAGAGGGGAGAAAGAATACACATGCACACTCATTTAAACTTACACAAAGGTGTACATGTCCAAACATACAAATGTACATAGACATACACACATTCACGCATGCACACACCTAGATACCTGCGTATCACACACACTCTCAGGGCTGCTTTACACGTGCAGTTACCCTGACATACCAGATATACACAGATATTTAGGCACAGATACCCCCTTTTGCACAGATACAAATACACACACACACACACACACACAGAGCACATACCCCACTCCCAAAATGGACTAAAAGTCCTGAAACAACTGGACAAACAATCCCGTCTCCTCCTGAGTGTGCCCCAGGGGCTGGAAAGGGATTTCTCAGAAGGTAAAGCCCTTGGGAGAAAACAGCCAGGCGGTACACACGGTGTGGCCCAGACTCTCACAGGTTCAGAGGCAACGGGGCTGGGGGCTGGGGGCTGGGCCTCCTGTGACTGCCTGGGGCTGTGGAGTCAGCCTGACCCTGGGCGGCCTGGCCTAAGCTCTGGTTACCAGGGACAAGGTAAGCCTGGGCAGAGGCAGACACCACTAGGGTGGGGGTAGGAGGCTCAGTGGGTTGCAGGGGCTGGGGAGGTACTCCTCTGTTCCTCTTGTGTGTCTGCAATTCGGCAAGTTTCTAGCACAGGAAATAGCGGGACAAAAGGCTTCTGTAAGGCCAGGCCCGGGAGAGGACGCAGATCCTGGGGGATAGGATGTCAGGAGGCGAGATGAAAGGGCAGCTGTGACCTGCAGCCCCCTGGCTGACCACGGGGCCCAGCCTGGGAAGGGGGAGGGGGCCACACTCACCTCGGTGCCGGTTGGTGGTTTTGTCAAACATCAGCATGGCGTCGTCCACCTGAAACACAGCCCGCCATGGAAGACCCCGCAGATACCAGCAGAACCCACCACCACCAAGGAACAGGGGCTCCAGCAACCCACTGCCCTCTTGCCCACTCCAGGCTTGACCTTAAACCTCTTTCCTGCACAGGGGACAACTTTCCTTCTGCAACCCCACTGAATGCCATAGCACCCTCTTTTCAATCGCCATCATCTCAATGGACCAGCTTGCATTTATTAAGCTCCATCATCCTCCCAACATTCTCTGCACGGTAAGATCCCCATGGTGTTGATAAGAAAATAGGCTCAGAGAGGTGAAGTTGCCTGCCCAAGATCACACAGCAAGACCTTGACCAAGCTGGGGAGGCACAGAGAAGATGCTAGAGAAGGAAATATGGGAGGCAGGAAAATGACAAGATGGGGAAGCAAAAGTCTCATCCCTTCTGTAAAAGGCCAGGAGGACAGCAACCAGACTGGACTCCCCTCTCCGGCTACAGATCTTTTCCTCTAATTGAGGTTTCCTTTTGCTAGAGGCTGTAATTAAAGCAAGTAGAGTTCAGTGCCTGGGCTGCTTTGCCTCCCACTGACTGGGGGAGGGGAAGGAGACTGGGGAAAGAGGAGGGTCTACATCATCCATCCTCTCTTGGACCCCAGTCCACTCTTGTTACTTCCTCTAGGTACCCCTTGGATACACGGTCACCAAAGGCCTTGGTGCCACCTTCCTTTTGCCTGCATCTGGTGCCTCCTCCTTGCCTTCTTTCTTAGTTAAGGTCTAAGTCACTTTTGGTATAAATCAGGGGCTGCCTCTGATACCCAACCCAATCCTACTCCAGGCCCCGACCCTCCCCCAAATGACCAGACATCCAAAGGATGAAACAAAAAATACTTTTCTCAAGCCATCAAGCCATGGGTAACCAGCCTCTTCCCTACTCTCCTTCCCTCTACTTCCAGGCCCATCATCCACCTTCTTCTTTTTGGAGACAGAGTCTCACTCTGTCATCCAGGCTGGAGTTCTGTCGCGTGATCTCGGCTCACTACAGCCCTCACCTCCCAGGTTTAAGCAATTCTCCTGCCTCAGCCTCCCGAGTAGCTAGGATTACAGGTGCCCACCACCCCGGCTCATTTTTGTATTTTAGTAGAGACGGGGTTTCACCGTGTTGGCCAGGCTGGTCTTGAACTCCTGGCCTCAAGTGATTCACCCACCTCGGCCTCCCAAAGTGTTGGGATTAAGGGTGTGAGCCACTGTGCCCAACCCCATCATCCAGTTTCTAAAGGCCCTCCCCTGCCTCATTAAAGACCCTGAACTACAGTGATCCTCCAGCTCTTCTTAGCCATCAAGCTACAGTGGGCCTCTGACTCCCGCTGGGAGAACCAGGATCCCACTGAGCCAGGAGCAACAAGGTCCCTGGAGAATCTCATGACATCTCTCTTCTCAAACAGCTGCCTGCACCGGGGCCCATGCTGCAGAGTGGCACTCTCACTCCCACCCTATGGACCCACTGTGAGTCCCAATCCCAAATCAGCCGGACCACCCGAATGGGACAGTCATTTCAGGTTCAGCACATCTTCCCCACCCCTTGCTTAACCAATGAGAAACAGAAACCCAGAAAGAAGGATTGTGATCAAAGCATAGGCTTTGGGTAGGATGGGCCTGAGTTGGAATCCTGAATCCTGCATTTGCTGGTTGGGTAACCTTGGGCAGGTGACTTGATGTCTCTCTGGCTTTGGTTCCTCATCTGTGAAATAGGCATAACAGTGTCTATCTTACAGGCTGAAGTTAAATGAAAGACACTTTCTTTTTGGAAATGGGTTCTCGCTATATTGCCCAGGCTAGTCTTGAACTCCTAGGCTCAAGCAATCCTCCCATCTCACCCTCCTTGGTAGCTGGGACTACAGGTGCGCACCACCGAGCATGGCTATGGGAGGATTTAGTGAGATAGTGCATGTAACACTCTTAACTCACAGCACCCGGGATACAGTAAGTGCTTAATAAATAACAGCTATTATTGTTATCTTTACAAGGGAGGGACTTGCCCATAGTTACATGGGGGAGCATGGCAAAGCTGGAGAGAGAGCAGCCAGATACTATTGGCTTGAAGGTTACATGAGGACAGCGTCTGTGTCATTTAGGGCCATGACACCATCCTATTGAGCACCTTGACTGCGGCTCAATCATTTTTTGAATGAATGAATGAATGAATGAATGAACCGGCCACACCCTCCCCCCTAATCCTACAGCTTGGATTCCCTGCCTGACCCACAGATGGATTCAGACCATATCTACAACCTTTCTCGTCTTCCTCCACCCAACCCTGGAAGGAAGGACACCATCCCTGGCCCCACTACAGCCTTCAACCTGGGCCTTGGCTGGAGAGGCCCCTAGTGGGACGGTGGGGTTGAGGCCAGGGCAGGGGGCAAGGAAGATGGCTGGGGGTCCGGGTTACCCCCACCGGTGTCCCCTCTTGGGGCCAGCTGAGGGGAGGGAGGCTCCCGGCCCAGTGTCCTTAATAGGCTTTGGTCTCCATGGGAACCCGAGGGCAGGGGGGATCGGGCGGGGGGAGGGGAGGCGGCCGAGGCCTGCTGACCAGTGGGAGCCGAGCCGCCAAGTTCGGCGGCCGCTAAGCCTGAGTGGCAGCCATGGCGGCTGACCATTGTTCCCCCCTCGGCGGCGGCCCCTCGATCCGGGCGGGGGGCCCCCCGCCGCGGGGCCCTTGGCATTCCCGGCTGTCCCCCTCGCTCCCTGGCAGCCTATTCTCCGGCTCCCCCTGGCCTCCCCGGGCCGGTTTCACATGCCAACGCCGATTTAGGCCCGAACAAAAGACGCGGCCGCTGACGGCTTCTCCTGGGGCCCGGTTGCCATGGCAACGCCGGCCCCGGGGGCAGGCGGCCTCCAATCACAGCTGCTGGATCAGATTAGTGCGAGCTCTAATGCTCGGCGCTCAGACACAAAGACACCCCGCCGCAGCCGAGCCGGGCCTGCTGCTTCCCAGGAGCGCCCTACCCTCTGGGGCCCAGGCCCGCCCGACCTGCCCTCCATCCCGGACCCAGGTGCCCACCGAGGCACGAAAGCCAAGGCCTCTGGTCCCCCACACCACCAGCCTCAGCTGGCCAGGGGACACCTCCCCGCCACACACACACACAATCCCAGGCCCATTTCCCAGGCCACGTCCCCCTTCGCTTGCCTGGGGGTGACTCGAAGTGTCTTGATGGGAAAGTAGAGACCCAGCCTCTCGCCTGTCTCACCTAAAAGAAGAAAGACCAGGGACCCCGGCCCCAAGCAAAACAACCCTCTTTCCCTCCTAGACTTCAAACCTAGGCCCCTCTCTGCCATCTCCCCATGGGACCCCAAAGTTCACATTGTCCACCTTTCAGAGGACACCCTATTGTCAGATGTCGCCATAACATCTACCTCTTCAGAGGCCCAGAAATTAAAGCTCCATGCCCCTCAGAGCTCACAGTCAATCCTCCGGGCCTGATCAGGAATTGGGGGGGTGCTCTCATCAGTTTCCCCCAATACCCAGGGGACCAGCAGCCCCCCAGCTCCTGCTCCAAGCTCCCCACCTGTGCAAATAGGGTGCCGAGTGCAATTGGGAGTCATATTTATTGCCTCCTTATCATCCTCGCATGGAAGGAGTGGGGAAAGGTTCAATAGCCCGCGGCCTGGACAGGTGCAAACTCCCAGGGGGCCACAGGGTGACTTGATTGAACTGGCTGCGGGGAGCACTGCCTCCCTTGTGAGAATGAAGATAAGAGAAAAATACAGTGGAAGGGCAACAACAGGGCCAGCTACTGTGTGGCTTCTCTGTCCCTAGGGATGTCCTGACTCTGAGGATCACAGATGAGCCAGGAGGCTGCAAGGTGGATTGGCCTGGTCTCCCCCCATAGCAGGATCCAGCCCAGCTCTCATCTTTTGCAGAAATTGAATGACCTGGCTGAATTCGGCTTGCTAGTGCCCCATTCTACAGCATGTTCACAGCCCTAGCAGCGAGCGCCCCCAGTTTAAACCCACCTTCCCAAACTGCTCAAAATATTGCTTCACGTCCTCCACCGTGGTGTTCACCGACAGCCCCCCCACAAAGATCTTCTTCGTTCGAGTCACCATCTGTTAGGGGAGGGAATGAGAAAGTGGGCATCTGAGTCCTGTGGCCTACCGCCACCAGCAGGGGCTCGAGCCCCCCTGCCAGGATGCCAGCTGACAAGCTCTCTGTGGCCCCAGCCTCTTGAAAGGCCCCCCAAGCTCCCTCTTGGACACCCGCCTCTAGGCCTGTTATGGGCAGCTGTGCACCCACACCCTGGCTGGCTCGAGTGTGCCTCCTTCCTGCCTCCCTCCCTAGGGACTATGTCCAGAAAATGCCTTCCCTAAGGACTAACACAGGGAAGGGGGCGGGCTGGTGACTCAGACCCACAGCCTAACTCTAAGACCCCACCGGCCCTCCTGGGAGACCCCCAAGGTCCATCACAGTCTCCCTGAACTCAATGCTGACATTTTCCTCATCAGCCTCCTCCCAACACAACCTCTGGCAGCCCCGTGGCCCCAGCCCTGTTTTAGGAAGAACACATGGTCCTAATTACCCCAGGAGCGCATGGCTAATCCGCGGCAATTCCCAGCCCCATCCTAACACTAAAGCACCTTCTGTCACCAAACTGCTTAATGGAATTAACCCAATTCCGACCATGTGCTCCCTGGTGCGGCTTCCTTCGAATACCTGCTCCATAATTGCTTTCAGGCCCTCTACTGGACCCTTCCAGAGATGCCCCTTTCCTGTCTCCCAAAACTCTTCCTCTCCTTCAGCCCTGGCAGGAGCTGGGGGCCTTCATGGAATTCACTGGCCCGGAATCTTAAAGAGCTCTAGTTCCACCTGGCAAAGGAGGAAAGCGAGCTCTCCTGGAGAGGGACCTCGTCCTAGGACCCATGAGAACTCAGGGGTCCTGACCCTGTGTTCTGCAATCAGTCTTTCCTCCTGTCCTCTATGTTCAATTGCTTCCCAAGGAAGACCTGGCTAGTTGCCCTGAGGCCTGGAATAGACTGTTAGGCCCCTGCCCTGCACCAAAAGTTTTTTGAGTGTTGTATCGCTCAACTGCTCAGAAATCCATTCTCTGCACACCTTGCCCCTTTCACTGGGAGAACTCGCCAGAGCAGCAGGGTAAGAGAGCATTGAGAAAGCAGCCATAGACATCTAAACTGAAAGACAACAGGTGACAGAGTCCGTGGTCCCCTCTGCCTCTGTAAAGGGTGACTGGGGGGATCCAAGGGTAGCTTCCTAGCCTGACTGTAGGGCAGCCTTAGGGTCTAAGTCTGTCCTGTATTTCACTTCCAGAGGCCTGGGCATTAAGGCTGTGGTCTATGATGTTGGAATTAGACTCGGGCTCTAAACTCTACTGGCTTCAAATACAGGACGATGAATCCTCTGAGTAGCTCCCCTTTCTCCCAACACACGCAAGCCCCTCTCCAGTCCACTCCAGAGCTCACATGGAAAGATGTGTCCTTGCTCAGGCCACAGAGCAAGGACGTGAAGAATTCCCTTTTCCCAGCCCAGCCCATTCCACAAACACTCCAAGCAGAGGTTCCAGAAGCATCTTCCAGAGCAGAAAATACTGGGAAAATCACTGCTCAGCATTGCCCGCAGTAAGAGAGCTCCTCCCAGACATAGACACACCTACCTTGGGCTGTGCTCGCCGAGGAAAGGCCACCTTGGGGTCAATCTACAAGAAAAGGGAGAGGTAGAAGGGGTCTTGGTTATCGCATTTTTAGAAGAGTGACCACACAGCCTTCAGCCCTCAGGACCTCTCTCCTCCCAGGACACAAAGGTGACAGAAATCACAAAAGCCTCTAGGAGGACAGAATAGTGGTTAAGCATTTATTTTTATTTTTTTCAGACAGAGTCTCACTCTCTCACCCAAGCTGGAGTGCAGTGGCACGATCTTAGCTCACTGCAACCTCTGCCTCCTGGGTTCAAGTGATTCTCCTGCCTCAGCCTCCCTAGTAGCTGGGATTACAGGTGCGCAACACCACACCCAGCTAATTTTTGAATTTTTAGTAGAGATGGGGTTTCACCATGTTGGCCAGGCTGGTCTCAAACTCCTGACCTCAGGTGAGCCACCCGCCTCAGCCTTCCAAAGCGCTGGGATTACAGGCATAAGCCACCGCGCCCAGCCAGTTAAGCATTTAGACCCTAACGTCCCACTGCTGGCTTCAAATTCCATTTGCACTGCTGCCCAGCTGTGAGACTATGGACAGGTTATTTCCCCTCTTTGAACGTCAGGGTCAAGTTCACCTGCAAAATGGGCAAATAATAACACCCACCTCCAAGGGTCATCAGCAGATTATTGGAGATAATGCATACAAAGCACTTGGCATGGTGTCTAGCTCACAGCAAAAACAAAAACAAAAAAATGTAAGCCGTCTTATTCCTTCAAGTATCAGGTAAATCGAGGGCCTTCCTTGCGTAACTGACTTCACACAGATGACCTATCTAGGTAAGGTATGCAATTCAGACTTTGGAAACCCTGCAAATGGGAATACTCTGTCTGCAAAAGGCCACAGGATGACAGTTCATAACCATCAGGAGTAGGCTCAGTTCTGTTTTCCCAGTACTATCAACATCAAACAGCTCTCCTTGAGGCTGTGAGCAAACAGCTCCCTGATAATGCAGCTGGGCTTGGGGCAAGGCAGAGTGTAGTCTTCGGTGACGTGAAAGGGCATGGGACTTGAACTTAGAAACTCTGGGCCTCTTGCCAAGCCTGTGAGACCACGGACAAGTTCTTGGTAATGCACTAGAACTCTCTGAGCCTCAGTTCCTTCATCTGCAAAGTGGGGACAATCACACCCGCTTTTCCCAGGGGCAGCTGCGGGGAATCAGATGAGATAACGCGGGTGAAAGCGGCCCTTTGTGAACTGCCCTTCATTGCACAAACAAAGGTGCTATTACCAGCAGGCCACCTTTGCCCTTGGCTGTGAACAACTAGAGGGAAAAATCAAGAGGCATCTGGGTGTACTCCTGGGTACTATAGCTGTATGACAAACAGCAAAAGACAGGGCATGAGAGGCTGTGATCCACACAGGGCCTACGGGGCCAGGTCAGGCCAGAGCTTTTTGCCACCCACATGGGTGGACGTCATTCATAAGTTCACCAGCCAATCGCAGGGAAGATCTATCTTTTCCCAAAGTTCCTTGTGTTCAAAACTCAGCCTCGTTCTAGGCAGCTGGCTCTGGCTTCTCTCTGAATGGCACAGACCAGGAACTAGCCTCCTACAGGCTCCCCCACTGGAATCTGTCCACAGAGATGGAACCTCCAAAATCCACACTAGGGCAATGGCTCCTCTCCTGCCAAGTCCCACTGGGCTCCGGGGAAAAATCACAACTGCCCATTTCTCCCGCCTGAAGTTTCAATTCCACACCTCCACGGACATGTCCATCCTTCTATTTCTCCCAGAAGCAGCCGCCCCAGCCACCAGCGCACCACACAGTCCCCCTACACAGACCCCGATGGGGAGACGGTACCCAAGCCATGTTCCCACAGACCCACGCACACCCCATCCCTGACACACCCCACCTCCACTGTGACTCACAGCTGGCAACATAAATAAAACCCAACAAGTAAATAAAAGGTGAAAGTCAGAACTCAAAATAGACTCCCCACAGTAAACCTCCCTCCCACCCCCTTTCCCAGGCTGGAGGACGCCAAACACAGACAAAGCCCTGGCTCTTTTCGGCCCCATCTCCTAAGGATAGTCATCTCACCCTCCTTCCTCCCTCATTCTCTTCCCCTTTATCAATCTTCCATTCCTCCATCCCCCAGCCCCTAAATCTCAGCTTCCTCAGCACTGCAGAAGCCATCAGTGCATTCTGAGGACAGGGGATGGTAGCAGAACAGGCAGCTTGATGGCAGATAATCACCAAAAACAATAGGCCACTGTCTCTCCATTTCCAGGCTTGGGTCACTCAGGCTGCGCCAAGAAGATCCTTTCAGAGCCGGCAAAGTTGAGGCCTGGCCTCATTTGCTCATTACTGTGAGCAGGAGCGGGAGCCACTGGGCAGAGATAACAGGAGCTGGGGACAGGCGGTAATTTGACAAATTCTTGGGCACAAGCAGCTATTGTTGCAGGTAAACAGGAGCCAGGGACTGACCCAAGCACCCAAGCAGAGAGGCCCAGGACTGGGGGACAGCCAGGGAGCATGGAGAGAAGAGATCCACACTATCCCTGACCCCGGCAGACAGACACCCCCATCAGATGGGGTAACCCCCTCCTCTGACTTTCCTCCTTTTCCATCTGCCCTGGAGCCAGCGCCCCCTGCAGGGTCTAAGGCACGAAGGAGCTGTGGGACAACAGCAAAATGTTCCAGGAGTCTGAATGCCAACCAAGCAGCTTCTCCTATGATCTAGTTTTCCAAAGGGTCGTTTCCAGGCAAGCTAGAGCCCTTCTCATAAATCCCCTCCGTGGGCAAAGCAGGTCCCTGTCTTCCACACAAAGCAAGGAGCTCATTGACCAAAAGTCGGGGGAGGAGGGAAGGAGGAAGGGAGGGGGCTTCAAGGGATGCTTTGCCATTGGTCTGGATGAAGAGGGGGTGTCGCTGAGCCAAATACTAGTTAGAGTTCACAGAAGCCACCGGGTGGGTCACTGCTACCCTGACTCACCCAATTTGGGCTGGGGGAGGGACCTAGCCCCACCCCAATCTCTGCTCTGAGGCATCATGATTAGTACTTCTAGGGAGAGGGTGGCGGCTGCCTCTCCCCTCACCAGGACTAGGGGAGGGGGGATGTAGCATCTCATGGCAAGCCGGGGATTTTTCTCCTCCCTCTCCCCCCCAACTCTAGTGACAAAGTTTCAGAGCATGGCAGCCCTCTTACTCAGAAAAACTCCCTCCTTCCTCACGGACCCCGTCCAGCTGTCCCCTGGGGAGAGTCCTGACCCTCTCCTCCGGCAGCCTCCCTCTCCCAAAGGACCCCCGAAGCCCCGAGGGCCACTCACTGTTTTGGAGTCGAGCTCGTGCCGCGATTGCGCCAGCACTTTATCCACCCCCGCCTGGTCCATGAAAGTGACGAAGCCGAAACCCCTGCGCGCCGTAGTGAGGGAGAGGCAGATGGTTACAAGGCAGTGAGTGGCGGGTGGAGGGGGGCGAGCCGGGAGCAGGAGGAGGGGGTGAGGGGCTCACCTGGATCTCTTGGTCAGGGGGTCCCGCATCACCAGACACTCCTTCACCTCCCCGAACTGGCCGAAGTATTCGCGCAGCCCTTCTGTAACCACACACCCGCCTTCGGACCAGCCCGGGCCCCGCGCCCTTCCCCCCTCCCCCGTCCTTTGCCCCCGGTGACCCCGGAGCGGCC